AGCTACAGCATTGTCTGTAATAGCTACAGCATTGTCGGTGATAGCTACAGTATGTCGGTTATCGCTACATTATTGTCTGTAATAGCTACAGTATGTCGGTTATAGCTACAGCATTTTCTGTAATAGCTACAGTATGTCAGTTATAGCTACAGTATTGTCAGTAATAGCTAAGCTTTGTCTGTAATAGCTACAGTATATCAGTTATAGCTACAGTATTGTCAGTTATAGCTACAGCATTGTCGGTGATAGCTACAGTATGTCGGTTATAGCTACATTATTGTCTGTAATAGCTACAGCATTGTCTGAAATAGCTACAGCATTGTCTGTAATAGATACAGCATTGTCTGTAATAGCTACAGTATGTCAGTTATAGCTACAGTATTGTCAGTAATAGCTAAGCTTTGTCTGTAATAGCTACAGTATATCAGTTATAGCTACAGTATTGTCAGTTATAGCTACAGCATTGTCGGTGAAAGCTACAGCATTGTTGGTGATAGCTACATCATTGTCTGTAATAGCTACAGTATGTCAGTTATAGCTACAGTATTGTCAGTAATAGCTAAGCTTTGTCTGTAATAGCTACAGTATATCAGTTATAGCTACAGTATAGTCAGTTATAGCTACAGCATTGTCAGTTATAGCTACAGCATTGTCTGTAATAGCCATAGTATGTCGGTTATAGCTACAGTATTGTCTGTACTAGCTACAGTATTGTCAATGATAGCTACAGCATTGGCTGTAATAGCTACAGTATGTAAGTTATAGCTACAGCATTGTCTGTAATAGCTACAGAATGACTGTAATAGCTTCAGCATTGTCTGTAATAGCTACAGTATGTCGGTTATTGCTACAGTATTGTCTGTAATAGCTACAGTATTGTCTGTAATAGCTACAGTATGTTGGTTATAGCTACAGCATTGTCGGTGATAGCTACAGTATGTCGGTTATAGCTACATTATTGTCTGTAATAGCTACAGTATGTCGGTTATTGCTACAGCATTGTCTGTAATAGCTACAGTATTGTCAATGATAGCTTCAGCATTGTCTGTAATAGCTACAGCATTGTCGGTGATAGCTACAGTATGTCGGTTATCGCTACATTATTGTCTGTAATAGCTACAGTATGTCGGTTATAGCTACAGTATTGTGTGTAATAGCTACAGCATTGTCTGTAATAGCTACAGCATTGTCGGTGATAGCTACAGTATGTCGGTTATCGCTACATTATTGTCTGTAATAGCTACAGTATGTCGGTTATTGCTACAGTATTGTCTGTAATAGCTACAGTATTGTCAATGATAGCTACAGCATTGTCTGTAATAGCTACAGAATGTCTGTAATAGCTACAGCATTGTCTGTAATAGCTACAGTATGTCGGTTATAGCTACAGTATTGTCTGTAATAGCTACAGTATTGTCAATGATAGCTACAGCATTGTCTGTAATAGCTACAGTATGTCGGTTATTGCTACACCATTGTCTGTAATAGCTACAGCACAATGTCTGTGACCAGTAGCTGCAAAATGGTCTGTGATAGTTATATCCCACCATTGTCCATGATAGCTACTACAGATTACCTTTCTTCCAACTTTGTGCATGATCTTGTTGACTTCTGAAATGCATCAGAATTTAGTTAGCTACGGAGTAACCTTTCACCTGACGTCGTGACACCTGAGTATACAGGATATTTTGTATCATCTGATATGTTTTTATGGGCTAAAAGACTAGTTGCTCTGTGTGTTAACATATAATTACCTACACACTGTCATTAACCAACCAGTCCCCACTGACATTTGTAAAATCAGGGTTTTATCAGTTGAGTTTAAAACATTGTTCATTATCTGTTCAGACTAATCAACCACTTGTGTCAAAAACTGTCAACAAAATACTTGTGTTTGATTGCTTAACAAAGTTACAAGCATTGATTACTTTGATTATGTTGTGTAACAATAGTTCTTTATGAATTAACTACCTGCAGTATTTTGTATTTTACATAATAATAAACATACTGTACAGGTGCTTATAGGAATTTGGGAAAATCAAAATTTTCTTAAGCTTTAAAAATAGACATAATAGACCCATTTTTCAAGTAAATTGATAATTAAACATTTTTTAAGGGAAAAATTTGCATGCTTTGACCCCAAAAAAAGACAGGGGTTTTATGTATTTTACGATATATTTTGATACTAATATGATATATATATTGCAAAGATAAACAATCACTGGCCTGAAACTGCTGCTTTTCAAAAATCTTCCCCTATAAGAATCAATCTCCCCCCCCCCCCCCCCCCCCCCCTAATCACATTCTCCACAACCAGTGTTAATCAGCCTTTGACTGTGGCCTGAACACAGCTGTCTCTAGATCTCTGAGTGTTGAGGTGTAGGTATCATTAAGTGTAACTCCCTAGGGGGCTGGGATCTGTTGTTTGTCCTGGTGATATAGACCTGAGATAAGACTACAATGTATCTTCAGCCTTAGGGTCTACTGCTATCGTAATCCTGTGGATTTTAAGCTATAATAGTGATTGTTGTGGTTTTGACTTTCTGGTCTGTTTAAGGATATTTTGTTATCTTATGTCATTCTTTTAGGCTATAATAAAAAGGTGCACATGTGCAGCTAAAGCAATATATTAGTGTCTCTGTAGAAAACCTTAACTGCATGCACATGCCAACTTAACACGCCCAATAGTGAACCCAGCTACCCTAGCTATGACCCCAGCTATCCTACGACCCCAGCTACCCTACGACCCCAGCTACCCTACAACCCCAGCTACCCTACCACCCCACTACACCCATCAAGCACGTTTATACCTTTCCCACCCTACACCCCTATATAGGTCTTAATGACTTCTGCTGTTAAATTGTATCAGAATGGACTGCCCAATTATATTACTAAGTGTATTCAGTGTGGACTGGTCCCTTTATAATATTAGTTATCTCTTGGTAAGGAGGGGTATAGTACGTGGCTCAAACACCCCGTCTTTAAAGACCAAGGGGGTCTATGAGCCCGTAGACTCTAATAAACTCTGTTACCCTGATAATCTTTAATTCTGTTTTTCTGCCAAGTAACTTTGTGAGTTTGACTTATACTTGACAGCTACTCAAAATAGCCCCTACCGGACAACCTTTTCGGGAATATTTCGGACAATAGTCACAATACACAACTGTCTATGTAATTAGCACCCTAGCCGCCCCCTGATTGCCTTTTTTGTTGAAGTTGCTGTAGTTTTAGACTGCATGTATGGGTATTTCATCCTGTGAATGATTGGCAAACCTCGACCGCTCGAATGCATCTTTGTTGTCATGAAGAGAGATTCTAATTTGAGTTATCTCCCCCTCGCACATGCTTTTAAAGACCCCAGTAGGGCGGTCTCTGTTCTAGGTGTTTTGTAACATACAGGGCAGTCCCTGTACTAGGTGTTTTGTAACATACAGGGTGGTCCCTGTACTAGTTGTGTTGTACCTATATAGGGCAGTCCCTGTACTAGCTGGTGTTTTGTAACATATACATAGGGCGGTCCCTGTTCTAGGTGTTTTGTACCTACATGTATATAGGGCGGTCCCTGTTCTAGGTGTTTTGTAACATACATAGGGCGGTCCCTGTACTAGGTGTTTTGAACCTATATAGGGTGGTCCCTGTGCTAGGTGTTTTGTGCCTACATGTATATAGGGTGGTCCCTGTACTAGGTGTTTTGTAACATACAGGGCGGTCCCTGTACTAGTTGTTTTGTGCCTATATAGGGGGGTCCCTGTACTAGTTGTTTTGTAACATACATAGGAAGGCGCTTTGTAACATACAGGGAGGTCCCTGTACTAGTTGTTTTGTGCCTATATAGGGGGGTCCCTGTACTAGTTGTTTTGTAACATACATAGGGTGGTCCCTGTACTAGTTGTTTTGAGACATACAGGGTGGTTCCTGTACTCGTTGTTTTGTAACATACAGGGTGGTCCCTGTACTAGGTGTTTTGTAACATACAGGGCGGTCCCTGTACTAGGTGTTTTGTACCTATATAGGGCGGTCCCTGTACTAGGTGTGTTGTACCTATATAGGGCGGTCCCTGTACTAGGTGTTTTGTACCTATATAGGGCGGTCCCTGTACTAGGTGTTTTGTACCTATGTAGGGCGGTCCCTGTACTAGGTGTTTTTGTACCTATATAGGGCGGTCCCTGTACTGTAGTGTATTGTAACCAGAGTCTAATCTATATAGGAAACATCACTATTGACTTGTCTGTTAACACCTTAAACTGTGCATATATTTCCGTTGACATATGAAGTGCAATGTCGATCTCTTGACGACTATGATCTGTCTATAAGTAAGTTAGTAAGGTGTTGATAGTTGTGTGTGCTGGATGTCCCTTGTCTGGCTGTAGGAGAGGGCACTCTGTTAATACCAAGCCTGCTTACACACAGAGATCACTGCTCTGAGACAACAAATTGAATTCTGTCCATCACCCAACGCGTACGGGATGTACCTGATCAGATGTGCTGTATGACTGCTGCAGCACAGTGACAAAAGTCACAGGGGTAAACACCTGATGAGTGTGTGATAGTGGCTGCAGCACAGTGACAAAAGTCACTCAGATAAACACCTGATGTAGACAAGTGGGTGAAAGTGGCTGCAACATAGTGACCAAAGTCACTCAGATAAACGCCTGATGTAGACGAGTGTGTGAAAGTGGCTGCAGCATAGTGGCAAAAGTCACTCAGATAAACACCTGATGTAGACAAGTGTGTGAAAGTGGCTGCAACATAGTGACAAAAGTCACTCAGATAAACACCTGATGTAGACAAGTGTGTGATACTGGCTGCAGCACAGTGACAAAAGTCACTCAGATAAACACCTGATGTCGACAAGTGTGTGAAAGTGGCTGCAACATAGTGACGAAAGTTGCACAGATAAATACCAGATCTTAAAGACCGGGGTGGACCTATTTCTTTTACCAGTGTGTGTTCTTTGCTGCAACATAGTGACAAGGTTACACTATATAAACACCTGATCATGAGTCGTGCTGGATGACCACTTTAGTTTAGTGACAGAAGTCACTCAGATAAACACCTGATCGAGATTTGTGTTGGATACTCTGCTGTAGTATAGTTACAAAAGACACACTGGATAAATGGATAAACAACTGATCAGAACATCTCTGCTTATTAACGTGATCTATACATGTATCTCTGCTGCAGTATTGTGAGCGTGGCGACAGTCACTCTAGATAAGTACGTTAACAAGGAACAGACATCAAGGTGTCGGATCATCTGTGCTGTGTGATTTCCCTGTGTATATTTAAGGAAGGAGTGAGAACTGCGGTAAGATCAACCTTTATTACAAATAACCTCTGTTTTTATGATGTATGTGACGGGAAATCTGTGCTGGTATTTTATCTCCGTATTAGAACATTTTTACTTAAAGTATCACATTGTGAAGTCATCCTTACATTGTTTCTTTAATGAATTTACCAGTGTATATTTGTACCGACCAGAATGAATGGGTTTGTGTGACAGGTTTGTATTTTATTTTTTAATTTCTGTCATCAATTATATTGTATCTTAGGTTCTCCTTTAGCTTAAAATGGAATTAAAAAGACAATTTATAACAGAATTATATTGTTAAGATGCTATCTATGAAGGATGTATATAAGGCAAAATAATAAAAATATGTTTCAGATATTTAAATCAGACATTTTCTCATAGGTAAGTCATCAATGGACAGCCTGTGGCTTGTAATGACGTTATTTATCTGCATTTAAGTGCATTTGAGTGAGAACAAATTAGTTAAGGTCGGAGGTAAACATTAGGGTTCAGCTACACCTGTAGGTTAGAGTAACTGAAACAAACATAGTTAGTTTTTTGCCTAAGTAATTCCTAGTGATTGGCGAAACAAAAATGTTTTCTATTGTTTTTTTTTTGTCTTAATTTTACAACAACCTGTGCCTACATGAATTGTCTACTACAGAGTGTCATTTCCCTACCATGCAGGGTGATGCCTTTGTATACAAATCGTATGAGACAAACAAGGGAATCGGAGTCACACACAAGTAGATACCTCTAACACTTACCACTGTATACAGGCTTTGTATACAAATCCTACAGGACAGACGAGGGTCATATTTAGATTGTCATGTAAGACAAATAAGGGAATCAGGTAGAAATTTCACCAAATGTCTATTAGATACAGGCAGAGGAATGTTATTCTATAAATATTGCAATGTATGTATGACCTTTACTGTTTAACTTAGACTATAATATATAATGAGGCTGATAAGATCTCCATAATGGTTAGATAGCATTCCCTTGTGATACTCCTCTGTGACAAGCATTCACAAGCAAATTTCTTTGTCAGTTCAGGCAATATTTATATCACTTTCATGTCAAAGTTCATATCAAATTCAAAAAATACAAATTTCAATTGAAGTTAGTGTCATAAGTTTTCTATCATGTTGATATTTTCAGGTCAATTTATTCAGGCTGTAAAAATAATTGGACACTGAATTCTGTAGAATGATGACATGCATGTAAATTAAACAACACATTTATGCTGAAGTCTGCTGTTTCATAAATATAAAATGGCTTGTTTAGAATTTGAATTGACTTTTGGAAAAAAAGTAACATTAGAACTATATATATATATATATATATATACACCAGTAACATTAGAACTATATATATATATATATATATATATACCAGTAACATTAGAACTATATATATATATATACACCAGTAACATTAATGACTGTTTACATTTCGCTGTTAATCTGTATGCTCTGAATGTGTCTGATGTTTATGCTTTGGTGATAATCTGTCAGAGATTTAACTGTTCTACAGTCTGTGATTAGAGAGTTTCCACCCCCAGATTACTTTGTCGTGGTTTGTAGGTAACAGTTGTAATACACCTTACTGCCTTATCAGTCGTTGGACCATCCGTCCTTACTTATCTGTGAGGCACACACTGGCCAAACGTGGGCTTATTGTCAACGTGGACCTGTATGCATGTGCCACACCTGCGATTTCCTCTCTTGACGGATCTTACTTTGTCCAGGTATATACTGCTTTATTTTCTTTAATTAGCATACCTGCAATTACCTGAGTTTTACCTGTAATTATACATTATGAATAGAAACAGGTAAAATAGCTACTGTAATTGACAAGTTGCGGGTTATTTTAAGCCTGCTAGTTATTGTATTTCATTGACTTAGCGGGCTGTTATACTTCTTACTCTCCAGGGTAAGTTGATGACATTTCCATTGTCATTTGTAGTATTGACAGACTTATATACACACTTACTAAACCACGTGTGTAACAGTTGTACCCATACCTGGGTGCTCTATACCTGGCGAGGGATTGATACTTTAGATAAACATTGTCCTACCTTGGATCTACCTGTGGTTATAGATTGGCTGTGTGACGGGGAATTATTTATTCACTTGCCAGGTAAGTTCAGTTCTTTGATTGCATTTTTCTTTTTTCATACCTTTACAGGTGAAAATCACTTATTAACAATCTTCTTAATACAATTTCTTATCGAGGTCGTTTGGGGTTACATCCCACAGAAGTTGTGCTAATGTCTCTGTGGCTAAACGGGAGCTTAGCTACTTATGAACTTTCACTTTATTACTTGGTTTATATCATACTGTCAGAAATCTCTCTCCCCCCTTCCACCACCCTTTGTCCCCCCTCCCAGTAATACCACATACTGATTTCTGATATCCACATTCCCCTGTAGTATACCTGATCCCCAGTGAGTGTAGATAATCCTTTATTGATCTGGGTAGACAGTACATTTTTAATCTGTCATATGTACAGGGAACAGGTCTGTCTTACAGTACCACCCCTGTCAACGTAGTATACATGTGATGTGCCTGGGTGTACAGGGAAGTCCATGTGTGGTATATAGGGGTATTGTTTATAATAGTATCCTCAGAGTTTAATACATGGCTATATTACTACCTGGTATCCATATTTATACCAGATATATGTCTATTTGGGCCATGGTAAGTGGTACATGTGTGTATGTGTATATTTTAAGGAAGTCAAGTGTGTGCATGTATTTGTGGGGGTCAGGGGGGTTCTACGATACATTAGGTTTGGGGATAGGCTATATATATATACATATATTCAGTCAAAAATGCTTAATGCATACTTCGAATGAATATTCAATACTTTTGTGTATATCATTCTTAACATTATTAATTATGTATTCTTTTGTAAACTCTACTCAAATTGATTTACCTATTCCTATTGTTATCTAATATTACGTTGTGCACTAATTTTACCTTACCATCTATTTGATTTTGCATTTATTATCTAATTTATCATTGTAACTACATTATTCTGTTTGTAAAATCTTCTTAAAGGAGGAAATAAAGAGAATAATAATGAAGGAAGGATATGGCTATGATACATTAGGTTGGGGGATAGGATACATATATTCAGTCAGGTGAAGGAAGGATATGGCTATGATACATTAGGTTGGGGGATAGGATACATATATTCAGTCACGTGAAGGAAGGATATGGCTACGATACATTAGGTTGGGGGATAGGATACATATATTCAGTCAGGTGAAGGAAGGATATGGTTATGATACATTAGGTTTGGGGATAGGATACATATATTCAGTCACGTGAAGGAAGGATATGGCTACGATACATTAGGTTGTTGGGGGATAGGATACATATATTCAGTCACATGAAGGAAGGATATGGCTACGATACATTAGGTTGGGGGGTTGGATACATATATTCAGTCACGTGCAGGAAGGATATGGCTACGATACATTAGGTTGGGGGATAGGATACATATATTCAGTCAGATGAAGGAAGGATATGACTACGATACATTAGTTTGGGGGATAGGATACGTATATTCAGTCAGGTGAAGGAAGGATATGGCTATGATACATTAGGTTGGGGGGTAGGATACATATATTCAGTCACGTGAAGTAAGGATATGGCTACGATACCTTAGGTTGGGGGATAGGATACATATATTGAGTCACATGAAGGAAGGATATGGCTACGATACATTAGGGTGGGGGATAGGATACATATATTCAGTCACGTGGAGGAAGGATATGGCTACGATACATTAGGTTGGTGGGGGATAGGATACATATATTCAGTCACGTGAAGGCAGGATATGGCTATGATACATTAGGTTGGTGGATAGGATACATATATTCAGTCAGGTGAATGAAGGATATGGCTATGATACATTAGGTTGTTGGGGGGTAGGATACATTTATTCAGTCAGATGAAGGAAGGATATGACTACGATACATTAGTTTGGGGGATAGGATACGTATATTCAGTCAGGTGAAGGAAGGATATGGCTACGCTACATTCGGTTGGGGGATAGGATACATATATTCAGTCAGATGTAGGAAGGATATGACTACGATACATTAGTTTGGGGGATAGGATACGTATATTCAGTCAGGTGAAGGAAGGATATGGATATGATACATTAGGTTGGGGGATAGGATACACATATTCAGTCACGTGCAGGAAGGATATGGCTACGATACATTAGGTTGGGGGCTAGGATACATATATTCAGTCAGGTGAAGGAAGGATATGGTTATGATACATTAGGTTTGGGGATAGGATACATATATTCAGTCACGTGAAGGAAGGATATGGCTATGATACATTAGGTTGTTGGGGCATAGGATACATATATTCAGTCACGTGAAGGAAGGATATGGCTACGATACACTAGGTTGTTGGGGGATAGGATACATATATTTAGTCACGTGAAGGAAGGATATGGCTACGATACATTAGGTTGGGGGATTTAGTCACGTGAAGGAAGGATATGGCTACGATACATTAGGTTGGGGGGTTGGATACATATATTCAGTCACGTGAAGGAAGGATATGGCTACGATACCTTAGGTTGGGGGATAGGATACATATATTCAGTCACGTGAAGGAAGGATATGGCTATGATACATTAGGTTGTTGGGGCATAGGATACATATATTCAGTCACGTGAAGGAATGATATGGCTACGATACATTAGGTTGGGGGGTTTAGTCACGTGAAGGAAGGATATGGCTACGAAACAATAGGTTGGGGGATTTAATCACGTGAAGGAAGGATATGGCTATGATACATTAGGTTGTTGGGGCATAGGATACATATATTCAGTCACGTGAAGGAAGGATATGGTTATGATACATAGGTTGGAGGATAGGATACATATATTCAGTCACGTGAAGGAAGGATATGGTTATGATACATTAGGTTGGGGGATAGGATACATATATTCAGTCAGGTGAAGGAAGGATATGGCTACGATACATT